ACACACACACACACACACACACACACACACACACACACACACACACACACACACACACACACACACACACACACACACACACTTGAGCTGCCTGCTGTCTGGAGATGAGCATGATGTGTTCAAATGCAAATCAGGAGATGTGCCCTTTAAGCCGGAAGGGATTAAAAGCAGGTGACACAATAAGAAACAGGAAGGAGTTTTTGCTTCAAAATAAAGGTCAGGGGTTCAGGAAGTACACATAGGCACACTCATAAAAAATAAATAAACACACAAAAATAGGAATCCTGCTTTATGGAAGTGTCATCTGCCTCCCTGACAAAAACTGCACCAGATGGTGATGAAGCGTCACCATCTTGCACAAGGACACTTTGTCAGATGATGTCTCAGTTATAGTTGTCATCATTGACAACAACTGGAGAATATTCTTACCCCTTCTAGATTTAATATTAAACAGATGTACGATTTCAGTTATAGATCTTTATCCAAAATTGCAAACATTTCACTTTGTGATTATGTGTTACTTATTGTAGACTAATGGGAAAATGGCAAGAGTATCAGTCCTATCTGCAATTAAAACAAGTCTCGGATAAGGAGGTGATGATGGGACAGGACTGGAATCAGCCTGAGGAGGAGTCAGGGCCTGGTTTGGACCAAAATATTGGTGTTGAGAGGGCCTGATGAAATATTGAAACCAATAATAACAACTTTGAATTGTGTTGTATTCTCCATAAAAAAGCCAGAATGCCAACATGAACAAAAAACTCAAGTTACAGCTGCACTGGCATTGTGTCATCCCATCTGCTGCCTGGTTTTGGTCGATGTTTCCACATTATTAACCGACAAGATGATTCTGGTCTATTAATAGAAAACCAGCTGCTCCGTAAGAGACCAAAGTGTCTGAAAAATACGAGATAGTGGCGACATGCCGGATGCCCCGAAGCAGACGGACAGACAGAGCTGACAGCTGACCGTGCCGCTGTCTGCTAAATGAGCTTCACTTCCAAAATACTCAACAGGGGGGAGAGAGGGAGCGGGAGGAGTGGAGCAGGGTGGATAATGATAGTGACAGGTCGAAAAGAAAAAGAGAGGGAAAGGAGGAAATATGGGAC